ATATCTTAATATTTTCCCAATCAAACTCATGTTAATGACTAATTCTATGTTCTGTAATGACGGAATGCTGTATGGTGTTCCAATTAATGTGATTTCTATATTCGTTTATTCTTGTCTTCAAACATCTACCAGTTTGGCCCACATAAGATGCATCGCAAACTTGACACTCAATTTTGTATACCACGTCTGTATGGGAAAGTTTCGATCGAAAGTCTTTATGACCTTTAATAAACCCCTTAAGATTGTTAATCCCTTTATATGCCATCCTTATTAAGGAATCTTTCTTAAAAAATTTTTTTATTTTTTCCGATAAAAAAGGTATAAAAGGAATTGTAAAATAACCGTGATTGTTTGTGTCTACATTATTAACAATTGTATTATCTGTAGTTGTTATCTTCAAATCATTCCATTGTTTGAAATTTTTTGACAGCCTATTTTTAATTTCCGAGAAAATCAATTTCAGTGGATACCCATTGTTTAAAAGAATTTTTATAATCAGCTCGAAATTCTCCTGATGATAGCTAGGATGTGACAATAACAACACTCTATCTATTAACCCCACTATTGTACCCACCTTTTGACATAAAGGGTATCTGGAAAAAAAATTCCAATAACGCCCCGAAAATGTTGATTTATGGTACCAATTATGAATGAGAGAATTTCCCTTTTTAATCAAACTAACATCCAGAAAATTTAACCTATCTCCACCTATTTCCGTTGTAAATTTCAACCTGGTATGAAACGAATTGAAATTATTCGCTAAAGTGTCAATGTGTGATACATCATATGCTAACGCAATGTCATCCACATACCTAACATAAAAAGATGGCGAGATTGACAACCTCTGTAATGCTTTAGTTTCCAGATCTTGCATAACTATGATCGAAACTATGGGTGACAATGGTGAACCCATCGGTACACCAAAAGTTTGTAAAATTTATCGTTGAACTTAAAGAAGGTTGAATTAAGAACAAAATCTAGAGCCTTAAAAAACTCACTTTTTGGAATGTTCGTGTTTCTTTCAATAAGATGCCATCTCCTCTCCATATCTTCAAAAACCAAGTCAATAGGTACATTCGTGAATAGTGAAACCACGTCCAAAGATAAAAGAACTTCATTGTCATTAATCGTCAAACTTGAAATATGTTTAGTCATTTGAAAGCTATTCTTAATAAAACTATTCGCTTCTGGTATACTTTTATGTAAAATATCATTTAAAAATGAGGCTAGATTATGGAGAGGGCTCCCCACCGAAGAAACAATTAAGCGTAGTGGATGTCTTACTTTGTGAATTTTCGGCATGAGGCACAACCGGGTTTGAAGAGTTTAATTTAATAAATACCGAATTTTCCACCAACCCCCTCTGTTTCCATCCTTTCAATAAGGTCTTAAGCCGTGTTAAAACTCTGTTGACAGGATTATGAGTCACTACCTTATAAGTTTCACTATCAGAAAGTGAGCCTCCATTTTACTCACATAATCTGTCCTATCAAGTGCCACCACCACATTGCCCTTATCGGCCCTTGTGAAAATTATCTGTGGATTACTTCTGACAAATGTTTTGGTAATTCTAACTAATGAAGAAATTCGCTTTTCTATGTCGGTCTTCCTGGTACATGTTTGTTTAATTCCCTTAATTGAAGGAAATATTTTGTTCCTAATTTCTCTCGTGTTTGGTAATTTAAGTCTGAAAAAATTGTGTTCGATGTGTTTAACAAAATCGACATAGAAAAGTGAATTTCTTCAAGATATTGGATAAAGAAAGGGTTCTCAATAAAATATTGATTTCGGAAATGATCCATATAAAGCAACAGAGGCAGAGTTTAAATTTACAAAACGACACATACACGTTGAATCCACTATATTCGGAGTTACTGGCGAAATCGTAACGCAGTGCTTTCCTTTGTCATATTATTGTTGTTCAATGTCTGTGTGACTTTGTATTCTATGACTCTCATTACCTTTTTTGACTGTCGTCACCGCATGACGGTTGAAGTCGTTTTTTGAATGTTGGTCCACTGGTACGTTTATAATATAATTAAATTGTAATTCAGTTTTTGAGGATTTGATCAATTGATTTTTGGGTTTTTTTTATTCAAAAAATTTTTCACAGAAAGTCTGTAAACTTGGTTGGACGATGTGTTTCTACTTTTGACACAATGTATAGGACTTCATTTTCAATTTATGTAAGTTTATATCATTGTTTTAATTTTCATTGTTTTTTCTAATCTATCACTAATTTTCTATTTACTATTTTTATTATGTTACATGTTAATATTTCAACTTAGATAAATTGTTGACATAAAATGTGATTAACTCGTATTTGATTCTTAATTTCAATGGTTCAATTCTTAACGTTATGTAATTTGACGATACACTTTATTTATTGCTTTGTATAAGTTTATATTCCTAATGGACATAGTTTCAACATTGTAACTTTGTATTATAGTATTAGTACACTGGGTCTCACTTTAGACAAAAATTGTAATGGTTTAGTTAAAGAACTGTTAGGTCATAGATATTGTAACCTATATTTAAAGTATTTTACATTGTGATGATATTGATTATATTGATATGACGATTTATTATATAGTTAAACTGGTAATTGGATAAAGAAGAATGTTTAGGATTGTCATGGAGCATGATATTGGAAGTCATGAACACTAGGGTAGCGTTTTAAAATCGATATTGATAAGGACCAAAATGTAATGGTCGAAACGTATATTATTTAATTGATGATTTGTTTAATTCACACATAAATAAATTGTGCATCCGAAAAACAGATGTTAGCTTTAACGGGCTTGTTTTCTATTTCTACTATTGATTGATTCTTTTGAGCCTTTTTTAAGATAGTTGTTATCTTCTTAAAGACATAACATAAATTTATTTGATATTGTACCCATTTGTGTATAATAAAAAAGTAACAAGTTATTTTAATTTTTATTAATATCAAGATTTCATAATTAGGTCTTTATTCCGCCCATCCCCTTAATTATATATTATTTTATATATCTATTTAAAATGTTTTATATATTGGGTTAGGGAAGAAGTTCCTTTACAAGTTAGTAAAAGGACCTTTCCCTATCAATATCTTCGTTAAAAATAATCAAAATTTAAATTTAAGAAGAGGGTTTTAAAGTTTGAAATTTTTACTTTCGAATGGTTATTATATTTTTTGAATTTATGTGAGTTCGGTAATTTTTACATATAAAAAACTACGAGCTGAAAAAGATTGAAAAATTTTCTTTTCAGTTTGTAAGTTTGTAGCGTGTCTAAAAAAAAATTTGAGTAAATTTTCGGTAATTCTTTCGAATAGGGGACCCTGCTCCTACGACCTTGACCTTGACATATGTTGTCAAGGTCATGACCCTGAGTCACCTCCAACAAGTTTCAGCCGTTTCTCATCCTTCGTTAAAAAGTTATTAACAAAAGAAGTTTGAAAAATAACGTATTATTTTTGCTATATATGCAATATTAAATACTATTCTACATAGGTTTTGACTTTCAGGGCGCACGACTCTCACTTCCGACTCTCATCCCCCCTCCCCCCTGCTTCAGGGGCGCATGATTCACACCTCCGACTCTCACCCCTCTTCCCTCCTGCTTCAGGGGCACACGACTGTCACCTCCGATTCTCACCCCCCTCCC